AGCGCCGCCTCAACAACCACAGCAACCTGTACGTACGTGCGGCGAACAATTGTACGACATGGAAGGAAGTTTATATCCACGCACCCATAACATCATATTGCCCATATGGTATTGAGTACGATACCGGTACCCAGACTGCTGTATGTACGGCGGGCGCAGTGCATGACCGGCATGTTCATGTACAACAGCTCCGTACAACAGCAGCAGCAGCAGCAGTACACTCACCTCCAATTGGTCCTTCGACATGTTGGCGATGCGGTCAGCGATGCGGATGTTGACAGCGGATGAGGACTCGTTAGCGGTTTGGAAGGCCGGCAGGATGAACACACTGGGCAGCTGCTGCTGCTGGGGCTGCTGCTGTTGGGAGGTGCCAGCTCTGACACCGCTACTTGTACCGGAGCTGGAGCTGGATTTAGAGGAGGATGCGGTCCCAGCAGCGGCAGCAGCAGCCTCAGGAGAGGCGGGTGCGCATGCATGCACGTAGCGGCTGTGGGTGGAAAAGGGTTGGTGTGTGGGATGTTTGTAAGGCGGGGTCATTTCCGGCGGCGGCAGGCAGGGCTGTATAGATGAGTACCTTACCCTATTGTGGGGGTGCAGCATTTGGTCAGAAGGAAGTAAGGCGTGGGCTCCGGTCTTCATGCATGCACGCCTCAGCATCCACACCCACCTTGCAAGCTTGGGGTCTCGCATCTCCTTAAGAAGCGCCCGGCTAGGCAACATGTCTACATCCAACATGGCGATTAGCGGGGTGCGAGCCTGGCGAGGGGTGGGGTGCAGAAAGGTACCGGTCAGCACAATAATTCATCACCACATGCATGGTTAAAGCTGTCGCGACCCATGGGACGGTACGCTTTGTCATTGCCGATGTTGAATTTTATGGGTGGGATACTGCTCAAGTTCAAGCAACCTTCGTACTCACAAACACGACACGCGACACGGCTTTTGATATGACCTGATACGTACGGCTGCGAGATGCACGGACCGGAAGGCAATCAAGGAGGGGAAACCCGTAGGACCCCCACGCACCCCCGCGCGTTTCTTTGGGGACTTCATCTTCCGGCAATACCAGTACGTTCGTACGCGCTCGGCCAGTTTCCTCAACACACCCCAACAAATACACACGCACACCCCAACACACGCACACGCGCACCTGCAGCCTGGCCCAGTTGCGCAGCACGTTGACCGGGTAGAGCGACCGCAGCGCCCGCGGGTCGTCCCACGCCTCGTAGGTGAGAAGGATGTCCAGGGAACACCACCTGGGGGCGGGAGGAGGAAGAAGAGGGGGAGGAGGATGTAAACAGGAAGAAACTGAAGAATTGCACGACGAGGCTTCACCATGGGTTGCTACATTGGATCCGGTCCGCGGAGGCAAGGTTGCGGGTGGTCCTTCCCTGCCATCCGCTGGCACCCATGCAAGCATGCCGGTAAAACTTGGTACGCTATGCCGCCACAGCCCCTCACTTCCCTTGCTTCCCCGCCCCTTACCTTCGCTGCTCCATTTCCGTCCAGAACGACCGCACGTTAGCAATCGCGGTCTGCAGCCGCACCAGCTGGTCCGGTCCCAGCTGCAACCGCGTGCTGTTGCTGCTGCTGCTGCCCTCTCCAGCCTCCTTCGCCGCCACCGCCGCAGCTGCTGCTGCCTTCAGCTGCCGATGGTGCTGTTGCACGTACTCGCCGCTTGCCGTAACACTTGCGCCGCTACCGGTACCGGCATCCGCCGGCTTGCCGCTGTTTTCCTTCGCATCAACATCAACATCATCGTCAGCCTTGGTAGTCCGACCGGGCCCCTGCGGCTGGCGGCGTTTGCGCCGGCGCTCCTCCTGCCGCCGCTGCTCCTCCTCTTGGGCCTCCTCCGCCTCCGCCTCCGTCTCTATCTCGGGTTCCGCTGGGTTCGCATTTGGATCTGTGTCGTACATTTCGAGGGGCAGGTAGATTGCGGCGCTGAGGGGTCCGTGCCAGGCGCGGCACATGGCTCGCAGCTGTTGTAGGCGGTTGGCGGAGAGCTGCGTGACGACTGTGAGGGGCAGCGAGGAGGGCCGGCCAGACCACCAGGTGCCTGCATGCAGGTATGCCGGTATGCGGAGGAGGGATACGCAAGGGCGGGGCAGGTGTGGTCTGGGGTTAGGGTACGGTGGTGAGAGGGGTTGTTGGCAACGCACTCATGCTAATGGGTGGCACGATAATAACCCAGGTATTTAACCCAGGCTGCACGCTACAGCAGCAGTCCGCGCTCGCCACCCGAGCGAGCCTGACATTACTGCTGACGCACGCATGGACAGTTGCGTGGCCGATCATCGCATAACCGGTCATGACACGGCCGGCGGTAAGTACGGTGTCGTACTTACGTACGGTACTTACGGCGCAAGTCGAGCCCGCAGCCATCCTCTTCCGTCACAAGCACACACAAGCAACCACGCACCTAGAACCTTGACGGTAGGCCGCGCAGCTCCCACGTCGTTCCAACCAGCAACGATGTTGCCGTAACGGCTGTTCAGGCACTGCTGCAGCATAGCTGCGCCGCCAGGCACTTGGTTGCCGTTGCCCGGCATGGCAATGGGGGTCGCAGCCGCAATTAGCGCTGCTAGCTTCTCAACCTCATCCTCCTCCAAGGTTTTCCTGGGCATCCAGGAGAAATCCGCCTTCTTTTTACCGCCTCGGTGCTTGCCCTTGCTGCTGCCACGGCTCTTCTCTGCGGACTTCGCTGGCTTCTGCTTCTTTCCTTTGAGCAGCTGCCGCTGCCGCTGCTGGTAAGCTCCCAATGCAACATCGCCATCGGCTGCCTGCAGCTCTCGAGACCCTATACCCGTCATCTCTCCCGTCGCCCTCGACACGAACCCGCCGGCGGCCTGCTCCGAAGTCCCCTCAACACCCTCTTTCAGGTCACCCTTTTCCAAAGCATCGACGCCACTGCTTCCAGCTGCAGGGTCAGTTCCCATGGCCGAGAAAACAGCAGCACCGCTGCTCCCGTCGATGGGCAGCTGCTGCATCCGTACCGCTGCTGCCGCACCGACCTGAGTCCTGCCGTACAGATAAGAACCCACAGCGGACATTAGGCTAAAAGAGGCCAGTGCAAGCATCGCAGAAATGAGGGCGAAGGTCCGGAGGCTTATCAGCTGCTGCGGCTTGGGTCGGGGTGACGTTGTCTCCGAGCGCTTTGTTGCTGACAGCTGTAGCGGCTTTTGCTGCTGCTGCTGCTGCTGTTGATGGTGATGGTGATGATGATGGTGGTGGGATGCGAACAATGGTTGCGCTGCCCTGCTGCCGGGATTCGAGGCGTCTTGGCCCTCTAGGAAAGAGCCCTCGTACCCGTCGTCTCGTACTGGAGTATGCATAGGAGACGACTGAAGAGGAGGAGGTGGTGGAGCAGCCGCAGGAGGGGTTAGCCGCATGCCTGCCTGCGGAGGCGGCAAGCGCCTGCTGCCAGAAGGCGGTGTTGACGAGCGCAGCTGCTGCTGTGGAGGGGCAGCAGCAGCAGCAGGTGGTGGTGGCAGCAGCACCGCGGAGGACTCCACCATGATCGCAGGAGTCGCGTCCGCGGTGGGGAAGCAGTGCGAGGAGGAGGTGTGGGGGCCGCTGCTGCAGTCGTCGGTTGCCGCGGAGGAGCGGCGCCAGTAGGGGATGAAGACACCCATGCCTTGGTCGGAACCCATGACAGCTAGCGGCCCGCTGCGGGGGTCGCCGAGAGTGCCCTGGGTGGTGAAGGTGAAGGCAGGCGAGCAGCGCGCCGGGGGCAGCAGCAGGACCAGTAGCTGATGATGGACGGGGCAGGAATCAAGAGGCGTGTCGTTATAGGTAACGCTAATGATACATCTCGAGCTGGCGCGCAGTAGTGTCGTCCAGGCTAGGCGCAATAGTAGGCTTGCACACTAGCAGTGGGCTTGCAGCGACTTGGCTGGTAAGCCTGCCTCGCGAGGCAGCGACCTTGGGTTGCGTTTGTAGGAGTCTTTGGTTCTGACGATTTGTAGCGCGCACGAGATGGTTGTGGTGGGTGAGAGCAATCTCACGTTGTTATCAGGCGTGTGTGTCGCGCAAGCAGCTGTGGGCTGCGCGCAGAGGGCACAACGCTGAGTTGAATCGGCAAAGGACGGCAATTTTAGAGTGTTTGTGTAGGATGGGGTCGGTCCAGTAATGGAAGAGAGCCTAGAGGGCCTAGCTGCTTCCCAGAGACGCGGACTCTTCCCATATGACTAATTGAGAACCTACTTGCAACCGTCGGGCACCGGACACCTTACCAAGACAATATGATGAACGATGCAGCGGTAGCTTGGGTATGTTTAAGAAGCGAATTGTAATATTGCCTGCGCCCAGTTTGAACGCCGTGTGTTCGTCCGCGCCACGGCTAACTGCGGGCCGCGCGCGACAACTGAATCGAGTTTGGTTGCTTGTTGGATGCACGGGGTTATCGACTTGCAGAACTGAAATACTCTATTCGCAGTATATACGTGCGTGCTTGATGTTGAAAGCTTTAATTCGCTTTCCTAACTGGCTGGCATCTAGGCGCACTCGCTGTTCGAGGCAAGTGGAGGGCCCTAGAAATGAGCCCTAGCAAACGCAGCCATATTATTACACCGACATCACATTAATATGGAATCATCCTTGTTGCTTGGCGCTTTCGTAGCGATGCCTCGAATCCTGAACTCGCTATCGTCACAACCGCTGAAACCGATGACGGTTGCCGCCATTCTTGAGCGTGGAGTTGCAAGCCCAAGTCCTGCAGAACGTGTACAGCTTCCTTCAGGGCAGTGTCTTGACGACAGTTAACAGCTTTGCCATGTCGCTGCTAGCGTGCAGAGGCGTAACAATTGAAGCCCTGCTCTTGCCCCGCCATGCCGCCAGGGCGCTACATCTCGCTCGGATAGCAATTCAGTCTGAGCTGCAGCAGCCACCTAGTGTAGTCACGTAGCCTTAACATAGCACCTCTCCGACTTTGGTGACGACTCGGCGCCCTAAGCTGTATGTAGCATGTAGCTAAAAAAGCATTGCGTGTGCAATATCCTTTACACGTGGAGAGGCAGGTGGCCAGGTCGGCACACGAAACCCGGCCTGAAGGCATGGGAACGAGACTTGACAATTGGCCGTGTTCCCATTTATTGGGGAACCATTGTGACGATCATTCATTCATTGCTCTGTAGAACCAATTGGCCGTGTAACCATTGGCCGTGTAACCATTTATTAGGGAACCATTGTGACGATCATTCATTCATTGCTCTGTAGAACCAAACACCACCAACAACCAAACACGGCCGGTCGGCCGCCACTTGCTTATAAGAAACCCCACCAAAACGTCTGGGATCAGGACCTTCCTCATCAACAATTTCTCAACGCCGTACCAACAAGCAGCACCAACAACACCGCATGTATAACGCTCACGCATGCCACACACGCTAGTTAATCCAGCATTTCATCACCTGTTCAGTTCAGCAGGAACAATCCGCAAAAAGATCTGCAGACGACCAGAGGATGCATGCAGTCCCCATGCAGACAACTCACAGTCAAACAAAACAGCATTTACGTGTTCTCATCAAAGTTAATGTGCGCCGGACATGGCAACACCAACACTTGCAAAACCGACAGCAGAAGAAGACAAAGCCTGGATCAGCATCCTCTTTCAAACACATGCATGCCAACAAACCAGGATTAAACGACCTTTCCCGCCTTCCGTACGGATGTGCGATATCAGCGACTTCAGCACAGAAATGTTGCCTGATATAGCAGCAATGGGATCCTAACCTGCATACATGCCGACATAAATTGCAAATATACATAAAGGCATTGCATGAATAATGGAAGACATTAACCCCTTCACACCATTGCAGGTTTTAAAGACCGCCGGAAATACCTATGCTTAACATGGCTACTTAACCTTTATGTTTTACTTCTGCTTTCTCTCCCAGTCAACAATACCGGTACCTAAAAATGCTCGGACGCTCCGTTCCCCCACCGTGACACAGCAGGCAGGGTTCATGTCCATCCTGCTGGTACGTGCATGCAGTTTCCTACCGTCGCTTGCCTGCTGCTGCTGTCACTACTATCCTGCGTCTATGCCCAGCTCTGCGTGCTCCTCCACCTCCCCCAGATGAACGAACGACCGTTCCGCTAGCCGCTACGGCTGCTGCTGTTGCTGCCCTGAGGACCTCCTTCTCCTCATCAATCCTGAACCCCCGCTGCCGCAGCCCAGCCACGTACTCCTCGAGAAAGGAATCCATGCTGGGGAACAGCTCCCGGTAAGCTGTGAGCGCGTCCCGCAAGTATTGCAGCCGAGCTGCGGGCAGGGTGAACCTGCAGCAGCAGCAGCAGTAGCGACAGCGGCAGTAGTGTTGTTCTTCGATGGGACAGGTAGACGAAAGGTCAGAGGCATGCATCATGCTCATACCTTTGTCCTCCATCCCTAACCTTCATCCCATGTATGTAGCCCGTGGCTCGTCTGCGTTGCATCCTTTGTAGCGTGCCCTTCAGGTATAACCCCCTCTCCCATAACCCCTCTTTAACCTCGCTGTGACATCTTACTTGAGTGCGAAGTTCTGTGCCTCCCGAATGATGCGTTGGATGGCCCGTGGGTCGCTCGCGTCCCAGCGCCGCAGCTCCCCGATGACGTCATAGATGTCAGCCATGAACCACTCGTCTGTGGCGTTCCAGAAGGGCACGTAGTGCACATGCGGTTTGAGGGACCTGCATGGGGTGGGTCGGCGAGCCGGGAAGGCATGCAAGGGTAAGGCCCCTTGAGATCTTGTTGGGTTTCCCACTAGGATTCCTATATTGTAGCCTTGCTGCAGAGTAGTAAGACGATACCGTACCGGTATTATTATCTTGCATGAGTTGCTTGTGGCATCAGCTCATCACCCAAACAACCCCAAGTAAGCGAGAGCGAGAAAGGCAGTCTCCAACCCGTTCCGACTCTCACCGGTAAAAGTACTCCACGAAGGGCTGCCGCTGCAAGACCACCACCGAGTTGACCAGCATAAGCTGCGCGCGTGTGACCCATGGGTCGCCAAGCAAGGAGGTAAGGGAGCAGGAGTTGCATGTCAGGATAAGCGAGCAGCGGCACATGACGGCAAGCACATGCATGGCGAAGCACACGCCAAGCGGTCAAAACTAACCAAATAGCCATGCATGCGCGCCTGAATTGCATCAGGAACCTCGTGCCTAGCACGTACGTGCCAACTACCAATCCACTCCATAGATGGAGTGCATACCGCTAGGCATCCCTACACCGTGATGATGCACGCATGCGAGCATGTTGCTTGCGGACCTCACCCGTGTGTTGTCATGCACCCGACCTCGGGGCTCCCCGGTGTCAGCCAGGTGGTGCGTCTGGACAAACGGCCCAAACACACCCACGCACGCAATCCCCCGCTGCCAACCTCGCTCCCCATGTTGACCCCCCCTCGCACCTACCAGCCCGCCATATCCCTCGTCAATACCGGTATCACCTTCAACCCCTCTCCTGATCATACAGCTCGTCCGTTTTCGTTTCCTATCTTTACCCCCTCCCAGAATTCGCTTCCTGCATGAGTCGGTGTCTGGGATTGGGAATCCAATTGCTTCACTTTTCATAAATCCCCCCCTCCCACCTACCAGCCCGCCAGATCCCTCGTTAAAACCATCTTCAACCCCCCCCCTCCTTCCTCCCGCACCTGCGACAGTCGCGAGCTGGCCGTGAGTCCCTCAAGGTGTAGCAGCCAGCGGTAGCGGCTGTGCTCGGGCAGCGACACCCACTGCAGCGCCGGCAGGTCCTGCTTGAGACACTGCAGGCAGGGCGAGGGAGGGAAGCGTGGCAGGCGAGGCAGACAGACAGGCAGCAGGTGGATGTCGCTGCAGGGACATTAATCAAGAGGGGAGGCAGCCGTAGGGTCCCAGCCGCCACAACCCCACGCTCGACCCAGCAGAGACCTCCGCGCCACGCACCATGCCACTCCCGCCTCTTCACAGTCCCCTTCACAGTTCCCAGCCCCAAGCCCCCCGCCATCCTCTCAGCCCTACCCTGAACCTCGTCAACGGCTGCCCGTCCGCGCCCCTCTCCCGCTCCACGCCCCTCAACAGCCCCACATCCAACACGCTGGCGTTGCCGGCGGCCATGTCCCGCGCTGCCAGCTGCGCTAGCGCGGTGCGCGGACAGGCGTCATGGCAGCGGTAGCGATCCCACCAGTAGCTGCTGCAAAAGGGCTCTCCACGGAAGAACGCTGCGGAGGGAGGCAGGGAAAAATACCGATATATGGGAAGTGAGGAGGGAGGCAGGGAGGGCGGGAAACGTGTTCAGGTTGGTGACACCATTTCTCCACGAGACCGACGCGAGCCCAAACCTGCCCAGTAGCAGGAATGGCTTGACAGCTTGAAGGGCAGGCCCAGAGAGCGAGGCACCACCCCACCTAGCCCGGCAACAACATCCATCATCAGCCTGCTGAGCAGCCCAAGCAGGAGCCCCTACCCCGCCGGGCTGCTGGCAAGCAGCACACACCGGACACCGCCTGCTGATCCTCCCGCCCCCCGCCACCCAGCCGCTATCTTCAGCAATTCAACAGCATCCTCCTGACAGCATGGCCTGCTTCCTCTTAATCTTCTTCTTTTCCTCCGAACGAACCCCGCAGCTAGCCAGCAAAGCACCCACCCAGGTCCTTCTTGAGGTGCCAGGGGTGCATGTAGAGCTGCGAGGGGGTGTACAACCACTGCGGGACCAGGATGTCCAGGTCATCACCGTCCGGCTCTCCCAGCGTCTTGACCTGCATGTACGGATGGGCCATCGTACATGTACGTCGTAAGCTACGTCGTACATGTCGCACGCGTGTGCTTACATCTAGTTGTTGATGTACATGCATATCGTACATGTCGCATGCGGGGGTGGGTGGATGTACGGCACAAGGATGCAGTACGGAGTGCATGCATGCAGCATACACATGCGCACATACAGGCGTTACGCGAAAACGAGGCAGGCAGGTTAGGCTGGTTGGTTGAGGCCTACCTGAAGATAAGCATGTTCGCAACCTTGGTTGGACCCAAGCAACCCTATCGTACAAACGTGCGGTGAGAAACCACCCTAACCGAAACAATAACCAATTGACCTACCTGGCTGATCAATGGCACTCGACGGCAGTACTGGCTGCTTGGAGAGCAAAAACGTGGTCTGTGGCACAAGGAAACAGGGGTTGTAATGAGGAGGGCTGGTATACACAAAGGGGGTCGTTAGCTGTACGACATGCATTGAGCGACGGAGTCCTGCCAAGTCGAGGGTGGGTTTTGGGTTAACATACAGCACAGGTCAGGTGCTTTGTAAAGTAAGGCCCCGCTTGCTTCGGGGCAGCATGAGTACGACAACCGTGAAGATTGAGACGTCAGTACGGCACACCACGCGCGTCTCTTACTGGTTATCCTCAAAAGAGTAAACGAACAGCGCGTTAGGCAGCTGTCGGCGGCCGGAGGCGAGCAGGCTGGTCACCTTGCGGTGGAAGGCGGCCGCCTGGAGGTGCCGTACAGAAGAGGAAGAAGAGAGGGTTGGCAGGGAGACAGGAAAGAGGATTGGCATAAATAGCGAGGAAGATGTCTTTTAGATACAACGGGATGGCAGTTAGGAATCACCGGGTCATATGTACCCTTGAATGCGTGTGTTGTGCCAGTGGCTGTCCTCCAGGCTGCAGTCCGGCAGGGATTGGGTGGGCTAGGTGTGGCGTCGGGCTATGATGAACTTAACCTCCCATGTACTTACATGTGGACTGATTGATGCTGGCGGCTCTGTGTTATCGACGTCCGTGCGGTTGGGGTAATAAATCCTGTTGTTGTATATAAGGACTAAAAGGAAGACGTCTGGCCTGCCGGTGCCGTTGAGGAGGGTTTGGTGCTGGGACAGAATGTCTGCAGGGCTCAAGGGTGCTCTGGCCTGCCATGGCGAGATGTCCCTGTCTAGGTTTTCTCTGCAGCACGTAAAGCGGAGGCAAGACGCAAATACTTAGGTTAGGCCACAAGGCTTGCATGTTCGATTAACACATCCACGGGTTGAAACGCTTTGTCTGCGAGACAATGCCTTGCAGTTAACAAATATAGTACATCAAAGGGCGTATCGCGAAGTGCCTCACGTTAAGAAGGTTGCCCACTCCTCTTGGTCGACTTGCGGCATCCCTACCGACGGAGTAAGGATATCAAGCGCCGAACCTCCTATGCGAGGTTGATCTTTTATAAGAAATGCACTTCCAACACGCATGGCGGCCTGAAACGACAGAGAACGGGCGTTGAGCCAAAGCTTATTTTGCATCGGTCGGACGGCGACATGGGACTACCCACTAGAAGAACGCTCGCAAGCCATTGAAAGCGTGTCATGGCAGCCATGACGAGTCAACAGCTGCTTGGCCGCACGTTAATGGTAAGGAATCAGAGGAGAGTGCCCGTCCACAATCCGAGTGTCAGACAGGTGTAAAGGATTTGCCACAAGCTAAGACGCGGCTCAGCATTACCTACGTATAAATCTATAAATTCTGTCCGATAGGCAATAAAGAAAGCATTGTGGGGGCCATATCTGGCACCTTGGTACGTCTAAATAAAAACGTACCGGACCCTGAAACCTGCCCTTCAACAAGTTTATTGAAACATAACCCATATAAGGAGAAGAATTGTATCTACAAGAAACCTGTAAAAGGAGAAGCAGACCCAATGACCGTCGGGCGGTTTAGGGCTAGAAACCGATCTATCATACTGTTAGCATGGAATGCAACTTCTTAAACGGCAATGACAATTAGTTCAGAAGCATGTCACCTGGTACATACCGGTACTGTACATGGCCCGCTAACCGACTGTTGTTATGTTTGCGGTAAAGGAAGCGACACCTATACTGACTGATGTCTTGCATGCCACCAGCATCCCACCTCGCCTCTTTGCATGGATCGGTCCCCAGCTCCGCACGGCACATGGGTGCACTATCGCTCCCCAACTGTCCTCGCCCAATGCAAACGGACTGCGTTACGACCTGAATCTTGCTAGCAATGTGTCTTAAAGACAATGCCTCAATCACGCCCGTCAGCCGCGTCCATGGCGTGAAACGCGCCTACCGCGCACTGGCGGCATATCATCCCGCGGCATAAAAAGTGTACATACCAGAACGCGTTTCCTCAACGGTTATGGATACCTTTTATCTTCCTGAAGCCAACAGTCAAAATCCTGTGAACTCTCGTGGACAATTCGCAAAGATAGCCTGATTGCCGTACCGACCAACGATAGAACTGTTCCCACACCAATTTGGCTCACTAAATGTCTATTGTAACTTAACTGAATGTACAGTAATGATTACAGTTTTCTGAAGTTACAACGACGTCTAAATCATGGACCTGGTGCCACATCGGAGCTGACACACAAGGTGAGTATGTGATTAGCCCTCAGCCCAGTCCAACAAAACTGTTGTAATCGAGGAGGCCTTCATTGACTAGTGATACAGGATTCGTGTACCATAAAGGGACCGTGGGTCGCTGTTGGCGATGACACGGCCAGCTCACGTACTCATAGGCCCCAATTACACTGTGTCTACTAGTAAGGCCCGCCTTCGGCGGGAGCTGCCCGTAGCTCGCGGGAGGGAGGTGATGCCGAGGAGATGCGGTTGCACGCATGCATGTAGGGCGTGAGGATGCAGAACGATGCTCAAAGCACAAAAGGAATGGCAGCGATTGTTGCCAAGGCTGCTAGACGGGTAGGAAGCACAAACGGCTTGTGGAAGCCAAAGGAAAGGTACACACTAAAGGTGAAGACCTGTCCAATGCTTAACGACGGGATGTGGCGTACACGCACGCAACACGCTCGGGCTCCGCTACTCTTGTTGTATCATGCCTTATCAGACAGAAAAGGACAGATCGGCCGTTGATGCCAGAACAGTGCATCACATGATACATAACCCATGATACTACACTCCTGAAGCCCAAGCAAGTAAAGCAACTGTGACAGCATCTTATTTGGCAACAAAGCCTGCGTTAATTCATGGCTACAAACATCTATGTATGCTGCAAAGCCGAGTGATGGCCATACATGCCGTGCCAGTTACCGGGACCCACGTGCGCATGCATACCCTCTCCTTTCAGATGTCTGTGCTCAAGCGTGGAGCGCGAGCATTCACTGCCGCGCTGACGCCTGAATGCATGCCCATGCGATACATGCAAACATACCCGCCATGCCCAAGTACCGGCGCCCATGCTTGTACGCACACCAACCATGCCCAACTACCGCGCTGGTGAACGCATGCATCCCATGTACCAACACCAATGCGCGCACGCAGACGACACCCACTGTGCGACGCGCACGCAGACGACACCCACTACCCGAAGCCCGTGAGGGGACTTACTTGGAGGCAGAAACTGTACGAGGGTACGGAGGCCGCACTCGCGGCGCCACACGGGGAAGAGCAGTGAGAGGCAGGTGCTGCCCGGGAAAGGGTGGCCGCACAGAGAAGATGGCAGAGAGGGGCAGTCAATACATGGGAAGGGCAAGGGCAGGCAGACGCTTGGCATGGAAGGACAGGGGTAGGCAGCCGCCATTAAACCACCATCCCATTGTAGCGGCAGGCTCATCCGTTCAGTTAAATCGAGGAACGGGCAATGACGGGGAGAGGCAGGGCCGCACGGGGAAGGGCATTGTAAGGCAAGCAAATCACGGGGCGACGCAGGTGAGCTGCAGGGGCGACGCACGGGTTAGGGCAGAGGGGGGCGTCCTTCCACGCACTGTCCAACTACCAGCGCCTGCATGTGCAGGCATACTCGCGCTGCTGAACCACCGGCGCCCACAAGTCCCGACCAAAGACCAGCGCGCCCATGCAGTCCCCGCACTGGCCAACAGCAAGCGTGCATGCGAGCAGGCATGACGTCCGGATCTGCTGCGGATGCCTGAGGCCCCATACGCCCGCCGCTAGCGCAAGATAGCGCTATTGCCACCGCTGCTGCACAGGCAGGCCAACACCCCGTCCTCAAAGGCCGGATGTGCGAAGCCTAGCGACACAACAGGCCACAGAAGCACAGGACAGATCCCCATGCATACCGTATCTGTCTGTGTCCTCCACTGCAGTCTCCAGGGCCCGTTCTTTCCTTCCCTGCTTCCAGCCCCCAACCCCGATGTCAACGTTCCTCATCATGTAGCTGCCTTTTCACCCGGGTCCCTCCTTGGATCACCAACAGTGTGCATGACACGCTCATGAGCTGGGGCATGCACCGCCACAATACCTAAGTAATGGCTCCCCGCGCGTGCAGCCATCGCCTTGCTCAACGAATGCCGCCCATGCATGCAGGCATCCCTGCCCTGCTAGTTACTGACACCCACATGCACATGCATCCCCGCCTCTCTCAGCTTTCGGCGCACATGCATGCAGACATCCAGTCGTTCTGCCAGGAAGAGGCCCCCGTGCGTGCAAGATCACCCTCCTCCCATCCATCTCCATCGCACCCATCCCCGCATCAACGCCGATTCTGAATCCATAACCCCCCTGCCCCGTAAACTGGCACCGATACATGTATGCGTACTCACCATGCCCGACTACCGGCTGCCATGCGGGTACGCACACCCATTGTGCCCGCCGTTTACCGCGGTGATGTACGCACGCATCCCTGCCCTGCCCGAGTACCGACACCAATGCGTGCGTGCATAAAACCCCGCCCTACTCAGTTACACTCGGCCATGCGACCAGCGGCCACGCCCTGCCCGAAAGCTGACACATGTGCATGCAGGAGTGAAGGCATTGGATGTAAGGGCCAGGGGCTCGCGGGTAAGGACAGCCGAGGGCATTTTGGGGCAGGCACTGCACATGGAATGGCACCGAGGCCCACGGCAGGCCGCATGAGGCCCGCATATTCGCTGCACGGGAATCACGCACACAGGGAAAGGCAGCTGTATGGTTTATGGCATTGGGAGGCAGCCGCCGCCGGGGAAGGGCAGGGGACACAAGCGCGCGCCGCGCGGGCAGTCGCATGGGCAGCAGGGCACGGGGAGACAGGTAGGTACAGCGCGGGGAAGGGCATCCTGCACTGGGAAGAACTTACACCGCGAGACAGGCACTGCACGGTGAAGGGCACGGACACGAACACATTGCACGGTGAAGGGCAGGAGTAGCCATGCCCAGCGCGGGTAACAGCCATTTGACTCGAGGAACGTGCGATGACAGGATGGAGCAGGCGCCGCGCGGGGATTGGAATGGCATGGGGAGATTGCTTGCCGTCTTGAAGAGTAACGTGATCTACGTCTACACTGAAAGGTGACCCGTTCAAGGACGTGATACCCGCATTACGTTCGGGCACCGCTATTCCCGAAACCCAAGCAAAGACGGCTACTGCATACCTCCTCAACCGAGCCGAATCCTACACGGCTGCTAGCCAACATCGCGTCTCCATGCACTGACAACCACATTTCCTTGAACCGCGACAACGGATCTAGCGCCTTTACAAAACCTGCTTAAACGTCTTTCGATCACGTTCTGCTCCCTAACCTTGCTTGGAGACTACCTTTATTCATATTATTATTATGTCTTCTCTTAATTAATTGGTTCTCCTCTTTTTTTCCATTATTACTACAAACGTAGTAATCAGGAGACGAACCACACAGCACTCTTCCTTTTCGTGCCTCTCGTATGACTTCGCTCTTAGCCTAAATACTGAATATATTAGTGTGCTGTGCACAGCGGGCTGCTTAACAGCGCGATTCGTCAAAGCGAAATTGTTCGCTGAAGCGAACTTGAATCTATACCGACCCTTGGGTCTATGGACGGGACGAGCACGAATATTGCCTTCCCTGGAGCGTGACCACGGAGACCGTCTATGCTTCCCTTCGCTTCGCTCCTCCGAAACCGCATACTGCGTATACGTTTTCTCGGAATCGAGCTACAGGGATACTAAAGCAATAGATCAATACTTTGCCCGGTCCTCACCTCCCATTCATACAGCAGGATGGCGGCAAAGCGGTACCTCGAGGCCGATTTCGACGCGGTGGCCTCGGAGGATGAGGAGGCATCAACGCCACCAAGGCATTCACCAGGTATGGGCCAATGCCACAGCCCATTCGTGAGATTTGTTACTTGTCAGTTCCGAGAGAGATTTTCATAGTGAGATAGGTTGCGCTTTTCATGAGCTGTCGATATCCTGTTGCTGGCTGCCGAGCTAACATCTTGTGCCTTTCTTATCCTATGCAGCCATTGACTTGTCTCAGAGTCTCATCCCGCTGGTGGACCTCGTCACGCTCGATCAGCGCGCCGCCGCAGATGCTTCTCAAAGCGGTGGGTCTGACAGCACGCGTCAAGCGTAATGCATCGAGTATCCTGATATTATCATTTAGGCTTTGTCTTGAATTGATGAATGATTGTTACCTAAAAGGTTGACGAGTTACAGAGGTTTACTGACGCGCCCCAATTCAATGTAAACCTCGCAGCCACCACGATGGTCTTCAATACCTACCACGAGCCCATGTGTCTTACATGTTTTTACTGGAAATGTTGCTTGACACGCTGGGGCTGTTCGGATAGTAACACGAGCTACTGTTAGTCCATGCATGTTAATGAAGGCGGGACAAATCAGACTTAACACCCGAACACATGCTCTATGTTACAAATGGGTATCGATATTTGTGTCTGCAACCATGTCAGGAACGTCAACTTCCTAACCAACTACAGCCAGCACAGAGTGGATACTATTTCGGTTGCCTTACTGCAGCGCTGGCGACATGCAATGCTTACGTACATGCGGAACAAACGAAGCACTCAGACATCCTTCTTCGCTGCTACAGAGCACTCTCCTCCCTACAATGCTCTACTGCCGCACCGGTGCGCAGGCCAGGACTCGTACACTGGTCAGTGGTGCCGTATGCTTGTGTACATGTGCCCGGCCTGCGCACCGGTGCGGCGTTGAGCATTGTAGGGAGGAGAGTGCTCTGTAGCGGCGAAGAAGGATGTCTGAGTGCTTCGTTTGTTCCGCATGTACGTAAGCATTGCATGTCGCCAGCGCTGCAGTAAGGCAACCAAAATAGTATTCACTCTGTGCTGGCTGTAGTTGGTTAGGAAGTTGACGTTCCTGACATGGTTGCAGACACAAATATCGATACCCATTTGTAACATAGAGCATGTGTTCGGGTGTTAAGTCTGATTTGTCCCGCCTTCATTAACATGCATGGACTAACAGTAGCTCGTGTTACTATCCGAACAGCCCCAGCGTGTCAAGCAACATTTCCAGTAAAAACATGTAAGACACATGGGCTCGTATAGGTATTGAAGACCATCGTGGTGGCTGCGAGGTTTACATTGAATTGGGGCGCGTCAGTAAACCTCTGTAACTCGTCAACCTTTTAGGTAACAATCATTCATCAATTCAAGACAAAGCCTAAATGGTAATATCAGGATACTCGATGCATTACGCTTGACGCGTGCTATCAGACCCACCGCTTTGAGAAGCATCTGCGGCGACGCGCTGATCAGGTGTGACGAGGTCCACCAGCGGGATGGGACTCTGAGACAAGTCAATGGCTGCATAGGATAAGAAAGGCACAAGATGTTAGCTCGGCAGCCAGCAACAGGATATCTACAGCTCATGAAAAGCGCAACCTATCTCGCTATAAAAATCTCTCTCGGAACCGACAAGTAACTCGTGGCTTCCGGTTTGGGTTGTCTTATGCCCTAGATGAAGTTTGTCGAGGTTTGCTGAGGGGCCTTTTGTTGGCTTCTACCCTCTTGTTTCCCTCCTGAGGTTTCTTTTAGGGCTATGTCTCCCATCTTGTTGGCCCGTTGTGGTGCTGTCTCTACGGTTTGTTCCGTTTCTTTTGCAATGTAGGGTTGGGTTCATCACCCGTGTTCCCTTTTAGGGCACCATTGTAACGGTCATTCATTCAAGTAACAAATCTCACGAATGGGCTGTGGCATTGGCCCATACCTGGTGAATGCCTTGGTGGCGTTAATGCCTCCTCATCCTCCGAGGCCACCGCGTCGAAATCGGCCTCGAGGTACCGCTTTGCCGCCATCCTGCTGTATGAATGGGAGGTGAGGACCGGGCAAAGTATTGATCTATTGCTTTAGTATAGACACAGTGTAATTGGGGCCTATGAGTACGTGAGCGGGCCGTGTCATCGCCAACAGCGACCCACGGTCCCTTTATGGTACACGAATCCTGTATCACTAGTCAATGAAGGCCTCCTCGATTACAACAGTTTTGTTGGACTGGGCTGAGGGCTAATCGCATACTCACCTTGTGTGTCAGCTCCGATGTGGCACCAGGTCCATGATTTAGACGTCGTTGTAACTTCAGAAAACTGTAATCATTACTGTACATTCAGTTAAGTTACAATAGACATTTAGTGAGCCAAATTGGTGTGGGAACAGTTCTATCGTTGGTCGGTACGGCAATCAGGCTATCTTTGCGAATTGTCCACGAGAGTTCACAGGATTTTGACTGTTGGCTTCAAGAAGACAAAAGGTATCCATAACCGTTGAGGAAACGCGTTCTGGTATGTACACTTTTTATGCCGCGGGATGATATGCCGCCAGTGCGCGGTAGGGGTGAAACGCGTGCTATGCGTACGGCGGTTACTCATTCCCAAGTTGATCTTGGCACAGAGTTCTGATGGTTGTTTTCGCGTTTTGTGCTCGCGATCCATGAGCCTTCTGGCTCGGACGGATCTTACGAGCTCGGTACGAAGCTTGTAACACATACATACATACGATCTTGGCACAGAGTTCTGATAATATCTTGCAATTAGACAGTCAACGGAGAGGGTATGTAAAGATACTGCTTACTTAAAAGTCACATTTCAACGGCAAAAAGACTTTGGCCCCAGGAATTTAGCTTGCCAACAAGTTACCTTTACCACGGTGGTTTGGCTGTAAATGGCTGAAGTGGAGGATGAAGTTAGTGACGACGAGGATAATGCCGTTGCGCTGGATTATGAATTTGAGCGCAATGCTACCACAAATGAAATCGAGGTAACCTAGATATTAGGCCATTAGGCCACCGACATTGTCAGGCCTTCAGTAGTGCTGTGCCGTCTTCGTTTGCAAGCTTTGTCTCCCTGCTTCGCGCCTTCGCTTGTCGTCAGCCATCCCAATTTCCGGAGCTCGTGTACATTTGCGCTGAAACACCTAAAGCTTCATACCAAAACGAGCAACGCTTTAGCCCTGAACGTTGGATCAGAACCTTGCCACCCTTGCATGCAGTACATTTGGCCATGCCTTGTACCCCATTCTTGGCAGTCGCAACGCCGCCTTCCCAATTTCCCTGTTCCTCCGCCTTGCAGGCCTTCCACATCCAGAACAGCTTTGTGAATGCCGATCACCCCAGCGTAGTGCGCCGCTACTCCACAGTTATGGTGCAAGGTAGGACCCTACCTGCAAAGTTCGGGCTTGCAAAAAGCCATGCGTTCCTAAGCGCTTTAAGAAATGTTCCACAGACACACACACACGCCCCCCTTGCCTTCTCATCCGCATAACTCGCCTTAACCCACCCCGTCTGCCCCCTGGCCCCCGGCCCCGCCCTCGGCCCCGTTTTCTCGGCCCCATCAGCCGACCCAGGAACCCCAAAGTTTGTGGGCTACATCCGAAACGTACGTCACCAGAGGCCCTGTACGGCAACTCGGCAAGCTGAGCATTGAACTGACGCCATGCATGGGAATACCACGCTTACATGCTTGGGGGTTGTTGCATGCATGTGCGCATGGGTTGCCAGAGGGGGATCCGCTTCCGCGCGTTCGCTTGGCCCCGCCGCCCACACTTGGCGCCGGCCCCACACAGCCGCACGTGGACGAGAGGGCACGCTAGAGCCTCCCAACGACGCAAATGCGAAAGGAAAATGGCACACGACACACGACCCGGAGTGCGGGAGGGGGGGCCGAGAGACTTAGATGAGGCAGTGTCAGGGGTGACGAAACCCACGAGCGGAAACGAGAGGGCTGCGCGCTGTCCATGGCGCAATTCCCTCCATCTTTAAACCTTCCTCACTGTTCCTGCTATCATGCAACCCTCCTTCCTTTCTCCGTTGCCACCACTCCTGCAATCTGCTGCGTCCGTGACCCATGGCGCCCTGGGTCGGGTTGAGCACCCTTCCATCCTTCCTCGCACCCTTCTTTGCACCCTTCCTCGCACCCCCACCCTTCCTCGCACCTGCACCTGCAGTTCGTGGAAACCGAGGACGATGTCCTGGCGGAGCTCTGCTGGTTCTACCGCACGCACGACGTGCGGGATGCGGGAGTGGCGCTGCCCAAGGATACGTTGGTGCGGCGGGCGAGGCTGAGCGGCGTGAAGGGTGGTGGTGACAGGGGGACGTTCAAAGAGGTGAGGCACGGAGGGAAACATGGCACATTTGGAATGAAGGGGGGAAAGGGGAGAGATGAGGAGGGGACGTAGGACAGAGAGTACAAAGAGACGGGTAATGAATGAAGAAGGCGGAGGGTAAGGAGACAATCAAGGAGGTGTTACGACAGGGAGGCGAATGGATACCTGGTAAGGGGAAAATGGAGGCGGAGGGTAAAGACTAAAGAGAGCATTGCTGCTGCTCTCTTTAGTCTTTACCCTCCGCATTGCTGCTGCTTCTGCTGCTCTTTCCGCTAATGATACCGCTTAATATCTGTATGCTGTTGTTGCAACGCTTACGCTTTCCCCCACTGCCCCTCCTCGCGTTCCCCCTCCCCCCTAGCTCTTCTTCTCCAACCACAAGGACACCGTGTCGCTGGTATCCATCATGCACACCGTCAAGGTGGGGGGGGGAGTGGGGGGAATGGGTGGTGCGGGGAGCGGGGGTTGTGAGGGAAAGCGTGAGCGTACAGAAACCTCCGCCCTTCCAGGTCCCTGCATCCCTTCCCTATTCCTTCCAGGCCGGGCCGCACCCACACTCGCGCATTCACATTCACACTCGCATGCACCGGACCACCCGCCGGACCACCGCAGGGCCGCAGTGATGGGGGGACTGCCATGCCCTGGGGCGAACGGCCGTACCCGCATTCCCCCAACCTACCCAACCCGCCCCTCCTCCTCCGGGTCAAACAGGTGTGGTGCCTGCCAGACGACGACCTCTCCCCCGTCCTCATCACACCACCACCGCCGTCTCAGCAGCAGCAGCAAGACCTCCCTCCTGCTACCTCTACCTCTACCGCTTCGGCCGATGCCGCCGCGGCTGCTGACGCCCCAACAGCCGCTGCTGCAACAGCCGCTGCTGCACGCGGTACGACAACGGCGCTGCTGCCGGGGTTCGTGTGTCGGCGGTTCTACCACGTGCAGCAGAAGAAGATGACGCCGCTGGGACGGGTGGCTGCAGCAGCAGGGGGCGGCGGAGGTGGAGGAGGCGGTGGAGGGGTGGAGCGATGGCTGGCGGAGGACGTGGGTGGGGGGCGAGGAGAGGGAGGGAGGAAGTGAGGCAGGGAGGGAGAAGTGGTGAGAGAGAGGGCGGGAAGGGGGGTTGTCATGCTGAGGGAGAAAGAGGGCTTGTGCTGCTGTTGCTCTTGCTGCCCTACTCACTCCCCTCTGTTCCCTCCCTCTTCCCCTCCCTGCCCCACCCCACCCCCCTCTCACCCCCTCCCCCCCAAAGGTCGCTGAGCTGCTGCGGCGCAGTGGCGAGGAGCGGCGGACGTTCGCCCAGCAGTGGCGGCAGCGCAGCGCAGGGAGGCTGATGGGGGAGGGCAGGGCTGCGGGGGCTGCGGCAGCAGGGGGAGGGGGAGGGGCAGGAGGGGGAGGGGCAGGAGGGGCAGCAGCACCACCCCGCCTGGGGCAGCAGCAGGGGCAGCAGCAGCGGAAGCGCTCGGGCTCGGCAGCAGGCCTATAGCCGGGCTGGTGAGGTGGGACATGTCAACGGGCGGGGTGGTAAAGAGGAAACAACCAACTGACCGTGTGATAAGGCGTCCTTGTGGTCATCACGGGTGGGTTGGGCCGGGGTGGGGTGGTCACGCGTAGGATGGCAGCAGGGGGAGGACTAGACGGGACTAGACGGGCACTTGTAGTGGCAGCAGGGGGAGGGGGAGGGTGGCGCTGGTGGGGGTAGTTGGTGGGAGTAGTTGGTGGTTGGTGGTTGGCGCGAAGTACGGAGGCGGCACCGGCAGTAGTACAGGAAGGATGTGCTTCCAGCAGACCAGGCATGAGGACATGCGCGCATGGATTGCAACGACATACCGTTTGCAAGGACATACCGGTCTGCAACGACATACGGGCACATACACACCGTTTGCTCACCTAGGTGTGCTTGCCTAACTAGGAACTCTTAACAGGTGACGGAGTGCTACGGTAGCTGCTTATTTTTACCTCGTTTCTTTCCTCGCCTAATCTGTTACAACACCTGTTCTCTTGAACTCAAGTCAAACAGTGGTGGTGGCTCCTTCATGCAGATAGGAAACAGGGCTAGTTAGGGCGAAGCTGTAAAGCTTCCAGGTGGCGAGGGCTGTAACTTGGTGTGTAGTTGATTAGGACAAGAGCAAGCAAATGGGAGAGGTTCGCATGTGCGTGGGTGTGTGGGTGTGTGGACATGCATAAGCAAAGTTTGCCATACCTGTCAGCTTTGTGTGAACGGTCTGTTGCTGGTACTCTTCTCATGTATGGATTACAATTGCGTACGCTACCCAAGGTGCTGGACAACGTGTCGTAACAGAGCCCATTGTAACGGTCATTCACTTAGAGCCCGCTGTAACTTTGAAAACGGCAGGTACCCGCAAAAACAGCAGGAACAAACTTCAAACCGGGCTCTGCCGGTGTGAGCCAAAGGCTTGCTGTGCAGGTTAACAACGGGACTACGTCAAGTCGGTCAACGGCTTTGGTGGGTTCGGCTGCGCCTTAATGTTACGAGCCCAAAGCATTCAAGCATGCCCCAATCCCCCCCCCTGCTCCAAGCCCAAAGCTACAGGTCTAGCCCCCAACCCTTCAGCCCACCTGCTTACACGTACACCCCAGCAAGCCACGCCTGCAGGCTGAGCACCTACTCACTTCCCAGCAGGCCACGACTCACAACCCTCATGCATGTCACCACCCCCTTTGCACAGCCAATGGCCCTGTGGCTCCAACAACAGCCAATCACAGCTTCCGCCAGACCCATGACCTCCATCCGCAGGACCTCCGTGGACCAGTGCGGGCTCACCAGACCATTGCGGTACAAGCTGCAACATGGGACGAGGCAGCCACTTCTCACGACCGCCTTGCTGTGGGCCGCTGCTGCACCAGTAGCACGACAGTAATGATGGGATCCAGAAGAACGCGCCCCAGCTTGTCCCGGTACCACGCACTGAGCATGTAACCAGCGACGGCGGTGGGCACACGCATGTCGCTGCAGGAAACGCCACTCACTCCGCAAGGCCTGCTCATAGGCGGCCTCGCCCGCCGGCTTACCCCTGAAGTCCACTCTCCCTGCATGCGCTCCCTGACCACCGGCAGCACCACCGGCGGCATGCTGTACAGCGACTCAGCGATTGGCACGTTGACGCCTGCTGCGGCAGTACGCCAGCGCCAGCCACGGCAGCAGGTGCCAGCTGTTCCCGGCAGCTGTCTGAGCTGCCCAGCTGCACCGCAGCGCTACAACTGCACCTCCTTCAAAAGCCGCTCCGCCGCCTACCTCATTCAGATGTGGCTGGCCAGCTGAGCTGAGCCGGCGGCCGTTGCTGAAGCACTGCTCCCTCAAATACTGCTAAATGCATCCTGCTGGGACGCCCACGTGAGGAGCCTTGACCAGCGCAACTAACTAACCGACGGTCTCCACATCAGCAGACAGCACCACGTCCGGGTTGCTGCCGCCGCCTGCCACCGCCTGCTCTTGAGCGTCCTGGAATGCCGCGAAGACCAGAATTGAGCCCAAGACACGATCAGGCACAACCGACTCCACATTCGGCTTTAACACCTCGTTCTGTCATCACTGCCATGCAGTGTGGATAAGCCCTGAGCGCCTCTGCGGCAGACTTCCCCTCCACCACCCCACGTCGGGCGGCGAGTAGGGTCGGGCAGCAGCCTAGGCGGTTGTGGCTGTATGCTGCTGAGCGGCGACACAGCAGCGCGGTGTTGAGGGTCTAGGGAGGCTGCAAGGGTGCAGCAGGTAGGTGAGTTCTGGCGGGGGGGCTGTGTGGGCACAGCACTGCCACAGCAGGTAGCCGGTGCGCCGCCGGTAAAAGCAAAGGATCCAGTAATCCCGGCAGCTAGCTATCTGAAATGCTGAACTGGGAGGAACGCATCCGGGTGCAAAGGAATGCGGTAATGGTCGCCCGGGAGCGGCCGCCGTGCAGGCAGAAATGGCGGGGGCAGAGCGACCCATGGGACACCAGGGACTGCACGCACGTGTAGCGCTGGCGTGGGCCCTGGCGCATTGGCTGGCATTAACTGTTACTCCAGTCTGAGGCAAGCAAGCAGCATGTCAGGGCGGGCTTTGGCGAGATCAGCAGCCCACAGCAGCAGTCAAAAAGTGCCAACACATCCCAGCTAGGGCAACAGTTCCGCCGTCAAAAGGTTGTTGCAACCATCTGCAGCTAGCACAATCGTTATTGCCATCATTTCTCATAACTTGACCATCACAGCTGTGCCCGCGGGCGCTGCACATAGCGCTACCGAGTAGGGTCTGCTGACAACCACATATGTACACCGTACCGGCCAGCTTGGGAACTGCTGTGCCGATGCCGGGAGAGGGATGAGGGCGGCGGAGAGGAGGGGTGCCCATGCAGGTGGGGGCCGAGGGTAGGGGTGACCGATTGGAGGCAAGGGTTAAGAATGGTGAGGAAGGAGCCGTAGCTGAGGGGGCTGGTAGGGGGGTAGGGGGCTGGTTGACTGGGTTAGAGAAGGTGGGGGTTAGGGCAGGGGGGTTGGAGCAAGGTGGGACAGGCGAGATGTTGCAGGCGTGGTGACACGGCACATGTACGGGGGGTGGTGATGGCGGTCTGGAAACAGGGGGCCGAGTTAGCACAGCAGGCTCTGAACGCCGGTCGCTACGGCTCGCTCGCTGTACGCTGGCACAGCACCGCCGGCCGCCTGGGCACGCACGCCCTGTGCGTTGCCCCATCCATCCGCTACCCCGCCAGCTGGGGACCGCCGCTGCTGTACAATCGAATAGCTAACTGCGCCTTCACTCTCGTCATGTACGGCAACCGCGTGCCCCCGCTGGATGGGGTACATCACCTACCTACTGCGCGCTGCTGCCCTGCACAGGTCGCCGAGCGTCTGCCTGAATGAGGTGATATGGCGGTGTGCAGTCGATTTATAGAGCCGGTTCCAAGGAGGTGGTGTGTACATGTGAGGTTCGGATGGGACAGATAGCTATTATGTGAACGGGCAGGATGGGGATGGAGAGAGCTTGCTACGCTCTTAGAATGCAAGAAACTGCACTTGTACGTGTTACCGCATACATAGCATACATGCCCCCTCCCAAATCCGTGAACATGGTTAGCTTTGGTTTTTGGCCTGCCCTTGATTCTAGACGCTCCGCCAGGCCGCGGCTTGGAAGCAAGGGAACAGCCTTAGTGAACACCCCGGCAAATTAAACAGATTTGCGCGTGAGCTTTTTGGCATCTTTTTCTTGCAAAAGGTTTGGAATTTGAATGTGTATATGCAAGTCACAAAGGCAACCTGCGATGTGGCTCCAAGTCAAGAACGATTGTCGATAGCTTGCTACACGTTGGTATCCGTTAGGTTGTTGTCGCGGTAAGGCCAGCAGCGTAGTTTAATAGGGCCGACACCAATGGCTTCGGTTTTGCCTTCCTTACTCAATACACACAATGGCCAGGGAATGCATGAAAACATATGAAATTGACGCTCTGTGTAAAGCAGCCGAGACTATTGCTTCTAGCGGACTGAAACTTACTGCCAAGCTATTGCATGACGAAGTGTGCTCCGACACGCGCTTGAAGGGCTTGGCGTATAAACGTGTTATCAGCTTTTTGAAATACAACAAAGCCGTGCAAAAGTATATCCGGCCTAGGCCCAACGCTACCACTCAGCCTTCGAAGAAGCGTGCAAAGTGGACTCCGGACGAGGAAGCAGCGTTTCAGGAAGCAGTGCTCACGCTACAATCCACCAACAGAAAAGTAACAGCGGGCGCTGTCGTAAAGGAGTTGAATGGAAGTGCTGCCACGTACCATCAAGTGCACTACCGACTTCGGCAGTTGGCGAAAACTCAGCGTCTTCTATGTTCATCAGAGGATAATGGAAACGTCAGCAACAATAGCGGTGTGGAGGATGGTGACATTGGTGGGTTATTGGTTGTTTGCCAATATTTGCTAGTTGTGGGGCATTGACAAAGGTTCTATAGCTCCGGCCTTCATTTAAGCGCACAAACGTTGCATAAGCCTCAGTGCACACTTGCTGCTTGAGATACATAGATGACGGAGTTTTGGGTTCGTGCCATGCCCTTTCAGATGAAGACGAACCCGGCACCGAGAACGAGGCAGATGTGGATTCCGACGGCCTTGGGCTCCCGACCACCAGCACGCACTCGTGTGTCGAAGCTGCTGAGAAGGCGTGCAGAGAAGCGTTCTCCCAAACCTGCTCGTCCACATGCTGCTGCTGTGAGCGACGTCTGTTCAAACATTCAGTGGTGGAGGTCACGGATACCATGTATGACACCCTCAGCGAAGTGTGGGCAACAAACCTTGCAGGATGGGTAGCTCGAACTGGCATAGGGCATATATGCCATACATGCTTAAATAGCATCCGTAGGGATCGCTGCCCGCGATTCACTGTAGACAATGGGCTTGGATTCCCAGTTGTGCCAGTCGAGCTTCAGCAGGGCATTCCAAAGCTAGCAGAAAGGCTCATTGCTAGGCGGATTATTTTCCTCCAGTTAAGGAGGCTTCCTGCTGGGCATCAACATGGCCTCCGGGGTAAGTCGTCAGTAATTTTCTCTTATTTTACATCCTATGGAAGCGAAACATGCGGGTAGCGTGTTTCATGGCGTTTCCCTACAGTAAACCTGCTACAAAATGCAAGACCCATCTGCCACTATATCACTGAATGACTTCCTATCATTTCCTTCCGATGGGCTGCCAATAATCTCTCTATGACTGTCCTTAGCTAGTATGGTCTCACCTCATCCAACCCAACCATCTGCACTCACCGTACCCTTACCACGGACTCCAAAATGTCTTTCCCTTATCAGGCCCTAGCTACCTCGCTCCCAACCCGCCTGACCCAAACATCTGCCCTCAACCTGCCCCTCGCCCTTATTTAGGATCTGTTGTGAACGTCCCTGTTGACTTAACTCGCGTACAGCAGATGCTGCCGCGGCACCTCGACGACAGCGAAACCGTACTGGTTGGCTTGAAACGCAAACTGCAGTACAAGCGGACCTTCATGCACCAGATGATCCAACCCCAAGCTGTCCTTGGCGCATTACGGTACCTTGCGCGAACACCCCTCTACCATGACGCTCACATGGCAAATGAGGAGGAATGGCTTTCACAATTTGACACTGGGCTCTCAGGTAAGAAGGGTACATATGCAAGTTAAGCAGGGTGCCGTGAAGCAGGTACAGAAATCAAACATTATGGCTGCATAGTATCCTACCAGGCTTTTCCATAACCATTCTTACATAAGGCACCTGATAACCTGTAGGCGAACACAACATGAATCATTTGCCCTACCACGAATTGCAGAGTGGGATGGCCTTCCTGACACGGATGCAACACCTACCGAGGTGCTGCAAGCTGCAGAGGCGCTGGAAGCAAGCATGGCGGCAGAGGAAGCAGCCCTCACAGACAAGCAGCGGCAGTGGCTACGGGCGAAGCTGGGCCAGCTGTGTGCCGAAGAGTTTGTGGAGTGGGGGCATCAGGCGTATGCTGGCACTCCCTTCCGTGAGGTGTATGCCAGCCGATGTGGCGGATGCGACCTGCCACCAACCATCGGTGACAGTCACAACCAGACCTTTGCAGAGCCAGGGTCATGGCATGTGGACGACAATGGAGACCCTATCTACTTCAAAGGTGGGTCCACTTTGTTCCTTTGTAGCCAGCCCAGCCACATGTAACTATCGGCCTCACTTTGGCCACTGTTGCCTGCCACCTGCCCTGCCCCAGGAGGGTTGACGCTGACAAATTCAGCCTGTCCAAGAACCCCTTGACCCTGCATGTCAAGGATGCCAAGTCCCAAATCATCCCCAAGCACCCCCTCCTGCCGGTGCCCCTCACAGACATGGCCCTCTGCAAGGATGGCACTGTCCCCCATGACCACCTTGTCAACATCCTTGGTACGAACTCGGCCTCGTGTTAGGTGTGAGCAGCAATACTCATGCACCCCGCTCCAATGAACCCTGTCCCTGCTTCCAGCCCACCCTGTACAGGCCATGCCGCAACAGCCGTCCCTAACAACTCAAATGCCTCTTTTGCCAACCGCCCCTCTCCTTCCATACCCCCTGCCACAGCGGCTGTCCAAGGGACTTCTGCAGTCACCTCCAAAGACGTCCAGGGCTGCGCCACGCAGATGCGGGAGCTCACCCTGGTCGCCCCTGACAACGACGCCTCCATCTGCACATCCACCCACAGCATCTCCATGTCACTATGGGGGTAAGTTCGCAATGGGACCCCTCCGCCACCTTGCCCGCTACTCATAATAATTGCATGTGCCCCCCAACAACAACTCACGCCTGCTCCTGGACTTTACTTAGGGCTAGGAATGCCAGTGACGTGACTGTAAGCACCTTGTCATCATCAAACCCACTGCTTCAAAGATGCCACCACCGGCACCTGATGCATGCAGAGCTTGCGTTTGGGGTTCACTAGAGTGTGCACATGCGGCCAGCGGAGCTGCCTTTGCTCGGCCCCGCTCTTTTCTGTGCTGCTGCTGCTGCTGCTGCTGCCGCTGCTGCTACACACGGCCATGCCGACCCATTCTCCTCCCTTCCTTACACCACCCTCAGGGACCATGCGAAGAAGGCCTGGCAGGAAGGCCAAGTACTCCTCATCACCAACGCCGCCATGCGCATCTACCGCACAAATGGAACCATCCAGTACTCCCTTTCCTCCCGCGCCCTCACCAGCATCGTGGAGGCCAAGGAACCCCTGGCGTCCGAGTCCGCCATCGGCAGCACCAGGTTTGCGTTCACGGTAAGCCCAACAAGATGGGCGCCCCTCCGCATTGCCTGCTTCCCCCCAACCCCCTCCCAGCTTGATGCTGCATATGCCTTGCACCTACCTCGCCCACCTACCCTGCCCCCGCCTGACTCACCCCGTCCTTTGTCACACCCACCCGCAGTGTGCCAGCCCGCAAGACAACAACTGCCCTGCTCACACCCTGACGGAGGCCATCACCGCGGCACTGCACCACCCGCTCCGTCGTGTACATGTTAGTGACTTGCGGGTGCAGCTTAAGGCCCTGCGCAATGTGAACCACCCGTTTGCCTACCTGTGCACTGAGCCAATCCCCCCAAGCAGCGCCCCGTGTGGCAAGTACCTCGTGGTGGCGGCTGGGCCAACCTACACGTAAGCTACCTACTGCATGCCTAATAGGCCGCCTCGCCAAGAGCAGTCTTCCCCGCTGCCCTCCTTTCCCTACCCTTGCTGTTGTGCCCCCTTGGCAACTTCTTCAATCCGTGCCCTCAATCAATGCCGCTTCCCTGCTTCCAACCCCCCTCTCCCCAGGTGCTCCATCCACGGCAAGCTTAAGAAGGCGCCAGAGACGTACAACACGTACGACCTCAGTGCCACCACCGAGGCCTGTGAGGTCGATGGCACCGCCTACCAGGTTGACCTGCACTTCATTGACGAGGCGCTGCACGCCTACCTTGGGATTCCAGCGATCAAGGCCAGCGCCATCATGCTGGATAGCCGCCGCAGGTTCAACAAGCTCGTGCTGACCCCCCTCCTGGACATGTCTGACGGCACCCTCGCCCTCACTGATGCCACCCTCCGCGCGTGAGTGGGGCACAACACCTGCTGCCCTGTCTTCCTCGCACCGATCCCCACCGCCTGCTTACCTTGCTCCCCGCTGCGCCTGCTGCTTGGCGCACTTCTACGGGGCTACAGACCACGCCCTCCTAACCTGACCGCCCACCATCCATTGCAACCCGCTCCACTCTGACCCCCGCGCCAACCCCACCTTGACATGTGCGACGATGGCAACGCTCCGGACAGCCCCAACGGAAGCGCGCCCTCTGACACCACTGGCGACGGCGCTGAGGCCTCCGATGCAGTCGCCTCGGAGGACGAGGCATCCACATGCAGTCGTGACGGCAGTGGGGAGGACAGTGAGGAGGGGGGTGGGGCTGCTTCAGGGTCTGAGGATGAGGATGTGACCACGGGAAGCGATGTGGAGGAGTCTGCTGACCACGAGGATGAGGGAACGGGCTCCGATGGGGAGGATGAGGGAGACGATGGCACGGATAGCCCCAGCGATGACTCGGATGAGGGTGGCAGCGAGGGCAACTGAGACCTAGGACCGCGCGTCAGGTACTGTGCACACCACCGATACCCCCGGGCTGCCAACGCAATTGCGACCCTCCTTATTGGCAAGACGACTTGCCCCTCAGGGCCGCAGATGCCAGGCTTGACGGTGCAATGAGCCCATTGGCCCTGTGTTGGCCTGCCGCTCGACGATGTAAACGTTTCCCTCATGTGTCCCTACTACGCTGCCAACTGACCCTCCCAAACGGGACGCCCATGTGACACTCTCCTAAGCAGCCACGTCAGCCCCCCCTCGTCAGCCGCCCTCGTAAACGGCCGCAAACACACACCCAACCACGCACCCCGCCGCACCATCAGCCCGCCATGCCAGCTACACAACCATTTGGGCAGGCCATGAGATCGCTTCGGTCTGGTATTTGGTCTTTACCCCTCGACATGCACTTACTGGTGCATCGCCTTGTCCCAACCCCTGAACAAAGATGTAAATGCGTACATAACCATGTAGCCTTGGGCAGAGTGGATTGGTACGTATATATAACCCTATATAGGGGTAGGTGTTCCCTGCCTTGTCATGCCATGCCATGTATGTAGTTACCGGCGGCTTGGTGGCTATCCTGGACCATGCCAGATCGGTTTAATCTACCGTATTAAGGGACCGCCATGTACCGGAAGACATCACCTAAATGTATGGCTAGCGCTATATTTTGCTTGTATGACCGAACAAGGGGGTTCAGCTTCCTCAAAGTTGGAAAATCCGTCAATAATGCAGCCCTCTTATTTAGGGCTGCCTGGATTACCCAGGTGAGATCCTGTATGTAGGGCTAGCTGCTGCTGTGAGAGCGTAAATTTCACATATACTCTTTATTACAGACGTTAAGTATCCTCAAAAGAGCTACAAACACGTACGCAGCACCCTACGACAAGCAACACCAGCATGACACCTTGCCCCGCCCGTACGTACGAACGAAGGAGCCAAAACACACGATTGATAACGACAGATGCGTAGTAGCCAAGCGCGAAATTGCGTGCGGTCAGTTATTAAGAATGGATTAAGGATGGATATATAAGTGGTGCAGGAGCATTCAGCAGCCAATTATTGCTTGGCGGCAAGGAGTAGCTTATGCAAGGCACAAATGCCAATATACCATTCTCGTACTAGGTTGATAACAAGCAATGACGACCAATCAAGGCCAACTGAACCCAGCACCGGCCCCAGCCAAGCCTGACAGCTTACCCACCCACCAATCTTAACATCACGCAAGTCAGCAGGTAGGTGGATACCGCGGTTCACGGTATTAATTAATATGCAAGTTACAAGGGCTCCCTTTAAGGGAACACGCACGGGTAGATGATGAACTAACCCAACCCTACATTGCAAGAGTAAAGGCAACCCACAACGGGTCCGCAGGGAATGGAACAAAACCCCAGATGCATGTATGGACCCGTCAGCTTTGCAGACACCGGGGCTCGCCCCGTTTTTAAAATTTAGCGATGGTGTTGGGCTAGACTTGGGTTGGATTGGCAATTTAGGGTGGTTTTTGTACGTTGGACGCTTGCATGTTGGCAGCTGCTCGGTGTGGGGTCTGGCAGTGGAGTTGGCGTGGTGCTTCGTACAACTGGTTCGTAATGACCCGCATAAACGGCTAAGGGAATTTCTTAGCTGTTGCCGCCATATGCGTAGGAAAGGGCACGACACCCAGTGCCGTCGGCATGCCAAACGGTTAGGTTGCATTGAAAGGCAATCGCTACCCAGAGGACGATGTTTTCGTCCGCCCTTGCCGCTGTGACCACAGGCCCTTCCCCTTGTGACAGCATGTCTGTGCAGTAAGCAGCCACAGCAGCGCCTTCTGAAGCTGCGGTGCATGCATATCTTGCCTCCTTTGTCATGCCCCAACGCTGGTTTGGCCCTCTAGTGCCACCGGGGTCTGCGTTTTGCTGGTTCCGTCTCTGCCTCCCGTAACCGGAAGGCGCACTCCTAGACTTGCTGTAGACGTGGAGCGCTCCTCAGCGCCTCTCGTCCCGTGCTGGGGCGGGCTTCAAGACGGCTGAGCCGCGGACTGACCAGGCCCACGGGGAACTGATAACCTACTGTCTATTGTGACTGCTACGTTGGGCTGCCCAACGCTTGGGAGATCGCTAGTTGTGACTACGTTTAAGCGCGCATGTAAGCTGTAGATCTGCGCCGCAGATCAGGAACACATGAAGCCCTTCATGGTTCTTACAGGCAGTACATGAGTATGTGAGCAAAACGCAGTGCCCTAGCCCGGGCACTGCGCCGCCTAACAAGACAGGCACTTGTACGACAGATACTCTGGACACGCCAGAGCGATCTCTCCACAGCCCACAACACTTAAAGCAAAGGAACTGCGATAATACCAGCCATTATAACCGGAACCACTCAGTCACCTCAGCAGTAGCAATTCGCACCGTCATCATCCAACTGAACCATGGGACATGCCCGCGAGCGTCACCACCCGTGACCACAAACTGCACGAGCCAACGATGGGGCACGACACCTTAGCAACGGCAGTGGCTGTATTTGCAGCCAGCGACACGTGTGGATTGTCGATTTTATACTGCGAGCTAACACCATGCCTAAGCTCTTCATGCGGTGTGCCTGGGTCCAACATACGCGCTCGTTCGCAGGCTTCCACAAAAACAACATAACACCGGCGAAATTTGCCAATCCCAGCTTGACGCACTGCTGATACACCCACATCCACTCCGCGTTGCTGGAACAACAGCCAACGAAAGGCATCAAAGAAGCAATCGTCAGAGCGATAGCCGACAGGATTCCGACGAAGGCCATGTCGGGCGAGGGACGCCTCGAATACGCCAAACGAGCAAGTCGTGCGTTCCACTTTTCAGCGGTGGCCGTTGAACGAACGAAATGAGTGAACGAACGTAAACGTAAACGTAAACGTAGCGGGACGATGCCAACTTTTGTGGCACTGCGGCACCCTTTGCTAAGCTGTTTGTATTGATCTACAACTAAGCTTTCTACATTCTAACCAAAATATCCACTTTACCAGTTTAGTTTATTGCAAGAGGCATGATACATTTAAGGGATGCACAAACAACAGGCAACTTATCCTTGGCTTATGGGCTAAACGTTGTTTCAAGCGTTACAACGCTACAATGACATTGCTATGGAGATTACGAATCACCTGGGCATGATCGGCGCTGGGTCCCTGTTCTCTGTTGGCCCCCCCTGGACGGACAGGCCAACAGAGAACTGCCAAACGAAGGCTCTTTTACCTTTATATTGACTCAGGGGGTCTAGGTAAATTATTGGGTGGCTATTTATCATTTTGCCTGCAAACTCTGAGCTCATTCTCTGACACCGGCACTGGCTAGTTGCCACAGTAAAGCCCAAACTTGCATTTAATTGCAACTAAAGATACCGGTAAGTTTGTAGGATGTAATATCTCCCTCAGCTTAGTGTCACGGTTACCTCAATATAAGTCTGTTGCGTCATGTCCAGCGACGAATCAGAGTTGCCTTATGAGGATTCCGAGGAGGACTATGACTGAGATGGATATGTAACTATATTGTTGCTGTATCGCTGGCGTTCCTTTGGAAGCGATGAAGGCGATGGCGACGACACTAGTAGCGACGATAGTGGGGGCTACGCGACAGCAAACGAGGGGGACTCGGACGGCTTTGAGGGCGAAGCCAGTTATCCCAGAGATGTGGAAGTGCGGGCGGCATATCAAGGTCTTATTAGCTCCTCTCCTTGTCTTGTACGGGTGACGTTGGGTTTGGGATTCACTAGTTCACTAGACTCACAGGGGCAGCAACGTCATTCACAAGCACCTCTTGGCCAAGTTCCGGCTGGCATGCAGAGTGGCGCAGCACCGGCTGGTGTTGGGGATGGACGTCAGCCTTCCCAAACTGTACATGATGGAGACGTTCAGGACCTAGCTGACGCCCTTCCTGCCACACCACTTAGGGGCAGCAACACGGCTACACCTGGCCACTAGCCCGCCTTCATGAGTATTATCATCCCAATATACCGTTATCAGCCCAATGTACAGTGAGCAGAAGCTTGTCGTGGCCACCAGGCATCCTGATAAGCTTGGTTTCCTTACAAAGCTTGATGGGGAAATTGGGGCTATTGCCTGGCTCAATAGCAAGTATTCCGGCAAGATTTCCACGACCTCCAATCCCATCAAGCATCCAGTACCGGTAGCATCTGGCGGGAGGTGAAACAAGTTGGAACCTGTAAGGGACCCTTACGTGGCCGTGAGCCCCGCGCGCTTATTGTTGACACTCCCTCAGCATCACCACGGCATCAGTCTGTCCACGTCATGGGTTCTTACTGCCATAGGGTTGGCGTCGTTAATGGATACGATTAAGGCAACAAGCCTAAGGTGCTGGCATGGTACGTGAATGCATGCGCGTGCATAGACATGGTTCAGCATCTACCTGATTTGGACTGTTATGCTAGGAACCTCGGTGCCGGTGCGGTGTGAGGCTCAACTGCAAGGGTCCTCAGTGCTGGCATGGTGTTGCATGCTGCTCACTAGCAAGAGAGAATTTCGCAACGGGAAAAGCACTCTCAAACTCCATTCAATGACTACAACAAGGAATGGCAATCAACTCCAATCGTGTTTCCGGACCCCTCTCCCGGACCAGCCACATACCCTGCCCTGAAGGCCCCTCCAACTAATACCCTGCAAACACGGTTGCATGCTGCTCGCTAGCCAGAACGAATTTCGCGACGGAAAAAGCACTCCCATACTCCATTTAATGACTACAACAAGGAACTGCAATAACTCAAATCGTGTTTCCCGATTCCTTTGTCGCATGCATGGCACATGCCGCGCTTGCAAACTACCCCGGTCCAATACCAAACTTTAACCTTGCAAGTCTGCAAAATTTCAAACCTCGTTTCCTATGAACATGGGCTTGACATGGTTGTAGAACCCCAGTTCTCTTTCATCGGGCGGTCCGGGGTGTCCATGTTAATCGCTGTTTGCTGTTACGAACAAGCAACTCGACCAGTATTAATCAAAGGAGGATTTGAGGTATATTGCGCCGGTTTGGGCTTTACAATACAGCTAGGTGGTGTGGTTATCAGAGATTGAGCGCAAAGTTTACAAACAAATCGAGAAACAGCCACCCAATACTTGGCATAGACCCCCTGAATCGGTCTTTGGTTAAAAGAAAGCTCTTTTGAGCGGTTCTCTGTTGGCCTGCCTGGCGCCAAGCCGTACGGCGGTCCGGACAGAGAACAGGGACCCAGCGCCGTGCGAGCATCACCTGGACAAACCTTCCAACAGCACTTTGTTTCCGCCGACAAGTACAGGTGGAGGAGGGTATTAAGAACCACCAGGTATTAAGAACCACCAGGTATTAAGAACCACCCCACTTTTCTGCGCCCAGAAGAAGGATTTCGACAAGCGGATTCTAGTACTTCTAGTATATATGAAGTCCATAGTTGTGGCTGGGACGGCGGTTACGATTTGGGCACCAGAGCCAAACAGCTTTGCATGAACCGCGGTGTGGAGTGGCTAGAGCGCCTGAGGCATCTGAGCACCTTCGCGACCACCTGGCATGCATACTATACACATCTTTTATGGAATTGACTGCTAAATAGCTTCCCAGCAGCCACTTCTTTTCCCATCCTTGCGACCAAACCCCAATTATGCCCTAAGCGTCCTTCCAGTCATAAACGCGCTGCATAGACGCGTTATAGGACACATATATAAGACTTGGATGTTGTTTAGTAGCATAGGTGCGATGATGACGGATCAGGATCTGATGCTTGCCCATGATGGCAATATACCTCGGCGGTCACAACTGGTGAACCCCAGACGCCAGCTAGCATGTCCACAGCCTCTGATAGCTGTATTAGCTGCTTGCTGAAGTTTTCCCGGTGCGGGAATGTGTCTAAGCTGGCTTTTTCGCAACTTTCAGGGTGGTTCTTAATACCCCTCCTTTTCTGGAAGTTGGGGATTTTGCGTAGGTGTTGAATAACGGTCAGTGTCGCTGCTTATATTGAGAGTCGTAAGCAGGGCTCTTGGCCCCGTACAGAAGGGTCATACGGCTATCTGCTGCTCCATTTAGAACGTTAATCCGTGAAGTATGCAATAGGGGTGTTTCTATGGGCTTAGGTTTGGTTTCGGACCGAACCTAAGCCAACCTAAGGGAATCTCGTCCCATGCTCGTCCCACCAATACTTAGCTAAGTTGCTGCTAAGTTGCTAAGTGGGGTGACCCCGCTTAGCAACTTAGCAGCAACTTAGCACCGGCTTAGGGTGGAGCGAGTGGAGCGAGTGGAGCCAGCGGGCCCTACTCATTGAGCCTGCAGACCTTCGCATACAGACAAACAGTAAGGGATACTAAGCAAGATGGCAAGGTTGTATAATCGGCATTTTTCGGACCTTGTTTTTGATGGTAAAATGCCCAAGAAAGCAAAATCAACTCCTCAATTGTCAACTTGAAAATGCGTGAAGAATCCTTCATTCCTTTCATAGAGGCTACATTTACCCGAAAGCAAGCACCGTACCTCCCGTCAGTTGCCACATGTATGGCACATTTGCGTGTCTTGTTACGGGTAGGAATCTCCAGTTAGCCAGCTCCACTATCACACCTTGTAACAGAGCCGGTCGAGGGTCATCTAACCTATGGTTGTCTTCCACCACACCCCTAGCGTGGTCCTCACAAGCGATATGTGCCTTGCGCTTCCTTAAATTGTAAGGTCCCACGGGCCCCTGACAGCAGCAGCTTTGTCCACTGGCAACCCAGGCCCTTGCAGGGGTCATCCATTCTCTGCGAAGGTATCTTATGGCAGAACCTAGGCTTTCCCGTCCATGTGCTTCCTAGTTCCTACATGCATCCCCACATGGCTGTCACGCAACATGTCCTGTTGTCCCCGTTCACGTGCTATGGGTTGTTCTTTTGCCCGAGGTAATGTAAATTATACCCTTTCCTAACCATCAGGGCCGCAAACGGAAATCCACCCCTGCATCATCATCTCGCGAGCGCCCCTTTTCTTCCAAACGTGTTGGCTTAATAAACAGTGATTACCCTATCCTGTAAGGATAAATGAATATGGTGTTAACATAAGGCTGGTTTCACCGTGGTTCCTGAAGTCCATAGAAACAGGTCACTTAGGAACACTTAGGAGCGCTTAGCGTACGACTTAGGTTTGCTTAGGTTGGCTTAGGTTTGGTTTCGGACCGCGCCCATAGAAACACCCCTAATGAATGCGACGCATGCAAAGTCGAAGTGGTTCTTGATACCCTCCTTAACCTGTACGACACTTGGGTCGTCTTCAGACATGTAAGCCTCTCTCTGTTTTCAACATGACAGCAAACTAAGAGCAAACCAACGAATACAACGCCACCTTGTTCGAGCGTTTCTGCGACATCGGTGCAGGTACATGTAAAATGTACAGGGATACACCATAGGACATGTTCACGGTACAAAAAGGACATAACGCCTCGGCCCGGACTATTTTGAGTGAACGCTAAGACTACGCCCCTAATCGGGGCGAGCCAACGTGAGAAGGAGCCAAGAAACGGCCCCTCAGCAGCAAGCAAACCTCAGGAAGCTCTAGGGTAACAGGCACATACATACACAGACCCCCAAAAACACCACAACTCAGAAACCAGGACAACATCGCCCTCAAAGCAGAACCCCAACAGAATTAGGTATACGTTCAAACGCCAGCGGACGGTGCCTGGGGCACCCTACCTCGTAAACTCAAAACGGGGCCAAACCGAACAACCAACCGGATACAGAGGAAAGCCCCCCACCACCAACACGTAAGAACGGATGAGAAGGTAGGGCCAACATCAGTCCACCCATACGGAGAAGACCCAAACAAGCAAGCGAAACCCCGGAGCTGACTCCAAAACAACAGGAAGCAGGGCAACCAGATCATCAAGCCCACACACAACACCCACAGGGAGGGGTCGATGAGCATGCATGCATGCATGCATGGTGCATCATCAGGTCTGCAGCAGCTTCAGTCCTACAGCCGCCAGGTGGGGCAGGTCCGCCTTGCTGGTAAGGTGGTCCTCGTTAACATGCACCTTGACCGCCACCACCTCGGCCGCCAGCACCTCCGCCAGCGCCGTGGCTGACAGTGGGAAGTGGTTGAGTCCCGGGCATGTCAGCTGCGTCCGCTGCCCCTGCCCACCCGTGTACATGGTAACCCACTGCTGCTGATGAGTGGAGGCCTGATGGGTGGTTGGCGGAGGCGCGTGGACGGCAGGGAGAAGCAGCAGTCAGGTGCGTGCGTGTTAGTACCGGCAGCAACTAAAGGGCGGGCGCGTGGGGCTAGCTGTCGTACATCCACCCCTACATGCTACCCGTGTTTCCCTTGCAGTGTAGGGTTGATTGGGTTCATCACCCGTTCGTGTTCCCCATTAGGAAACCATTGTGATGACGGTCGTTCATCCACCGCATGCTATCTATTCATCCTCGTGTATGTTACAGCACCCCAGCAATAAGCAAGGAAGCATCAGCCGCCGAGGCAGGGCGGGTAGGTGCAGGTGCAGGCAGCAGCAGGTGCGCTTGTCCGGACGGTAGGTTGTGCTGGCCATCCACACGGCTGCTGCCTGGATTTCCCCCATCCATCCTTAACAGCAACCCTACCGCTGCCCGCCTTCGTAGTGACTGCTCGCTGGGTACCTACCGTTTGCAGCAGCAGGTCGATGGCGGTGATGGCGGGGTCGAGGCTGCCCTTGTTGAGCACGAAGAGCGCCACCGCCCCCACCTGGCCCACCTTGGCAGCCGGGGTCTGGTTGAAGTAGACCGCCACGGTACGGGGAGCCTGGACAGGTACATACATGGAGCGAGCAGCACTCGATAAACGTATGTGTTGGTGTGTGGGCGTCTGAGCGAGTGCGTGCGACGGTTACTTGTTAATCTTGCATACCGGTCTGCAGGACATGGTCCTCTTGGAGCCAGATATATATGCATCAGGTAGGGCGACACATAGCAGCTAGCAGGGATATGGAAGTAAGGCATGGTACGCAGGGCGGGCCGTACACATCTATGTGCCTGCATGCGATTCAGGACAGCTGCGAGGTGCTGCTGCTTGCGTGCTGCCATCTAGCTGCGGTCAATATCAAATGGCTCATCATTCTCGCTCCCTCCCCACCCTACATACCTCCCTTGTGTGACCCAACACATACATCAAGCAAGCAAGGTTAGCGATCGATAGTCATCACCTGCTCTTATGCATGGTAGATAGGTACCGTAGCCAAACAAGCAAGTCCGCCTATCTATCTATCTATCTATCTATCTATCTATCTAACGTAATTGGTGATATAGATGCCAGGGCTTCAATTTGTGCCCCGGCAGCCCCAGACTCGCTTCTTACCGCGAGTGTCGGCACCCAGGCGAGGGGAGCAGCTGCCTTGCATGTGCGGCTCTTCCTGGTCACCTCGGCACCAGGCGCCCCCACCAGGCGGCTCACGGAGCCAGGGCTGGTGCTGGAGCCGGAGGGGTCCTGGGAGGGGAGGGGCGGCGTGCGTGGTATGGTAATGGAAGGAGGAGAAAGAAGAGATAGAGGAGGGGAGGTGGATAGAGGAGGCCATGAGGCAGGACGGCGGCTAGATAGCACCAAAAGAAGGCGTGCGAGCACGGTAGGAAAAAAGAACAACGAACCAAGACAGGAAGCTGGCTAGGTAGGGCCGCCATCCAAGGCTTCGCACGCCGTGCGTGCGGTGCGCATGGGATCAGAGTGCATTCCTGTATGTGCAAGCTGCATGCAACCATTCGACACCTCATTTTGCAAGCATACCGGTATAAGTGCGCCGGGTCATCATGCGACAACATACCGACAAGCAAGGAAGGTCATCGGGCTGCTGTATGTGTTGGGGGCGGGGTCACACATGCTGCACACTACTGCTTTAGCTGACCCAGCATGCATGCACTGCTAGCTGGCAATCGGGGGCTATCGAGCTATGTACCTAGCTAGGATAGCCTCGCTCCGCGCATCACTCTGGGGAATACCCCCCCATGCTGATGTCCCATGCTGAACCCTTGATGGAGACCCAGTATCCCCAGCCAGCTATATCCACTTACATTGGGACCGGCAGCCGAGGTAGCCCAGTAGTACATCACCGCGGCGGCAGGAGACGGGGGCGGTGGCGGAGAGGGAGGAGGTGGGGGCGGTGTCGGGGAGGGAGGAGGTGGGGGCGGTGTCGGGGAGGGAGGAGGCGGAGGCGAGAAAGGGACTGCTGGTGTAGGCGGCGGCAGAGGCGCGGGTGATGAGGGAAGAGATAAGGGTGAAGGTGTTATTAGCCAAGGAACGGGAGGAGGAGGAAAAAGGATGCTAGATGGGATTGAAGGTGGTGGGGGTCTTGCAGTAGCCAGGGGTGTGGACGGGGAGGGAGGCGGCGGGGCTGATCGATTGGGTGCTGTCGAATTGGGTGGCGGTTGGGAGAGGGAAACCTGGCTAGGCGGTAACGGGCTGCTGACTGGTGGCGGCCTTGAACGGGGGGGAGGAGGAGGAGGGGGTGGCGATGGTGATGGAGGCAGTGGGGATGGCGGGGGCGAGGGTGGGGGACTCGGAGGCGGGGAAGGCTGGGGCGAGGGTGGGGGACTCGGAGGCGGGGAAGGCTGGGGCGAGGGTGGGGGACTCGGAGGCGGGGAAGGCGGGGGCGAGGGTGGGGGACTCGGAGGCGGGGAAGGCGGGGGCGAGGGTGGGGGGCTCGGAGGCGGGGAAGGCGGGGGCGAGGGTGGGGGACTCGGAGGCGGGGAAGGCGGGGGCGAGGGTGGGGGACTCGGAGGCGGGGAAGGCGGGGGCGAGGGTGGGGGACTCGGAGGCGGGGAAGGCGGGGGCGAGGGTGGGGGACTCGGAGGCGGGGAAGGCGGGGGCGAGGGTGGGGGACTCGGAGGCGGGGAAGGCGGGGGCGAGGGTGGGGGGCTCGGAGGCGGGGAAGGCGGGGGCGAGGGTGGGGGACTCGGAGGCGGGGAAGGCGGGGGCGAGGGTGGGGGACTCGGAGGCGGGGAAGGCGGGGGCGAGGGTGGGGGACTCGGAGGCGGGGAAGGCGGGGGCGAGGGTTGGAGACTCGGAGGCGGGGAAGGCGGGGGCGAGGGTGGGGGACTCGGAGGCGGGGAAGGCGGGGGCGAGGGTGGGGGACTCGGAGGCGGGGAAGGCGGGGGCGAGGGTTGGAGACTCGGAGGCGGGGAAGGCGGGGGCGAGGGTGGGGGACTCGGAGGCGGGGAAGGCGGGGGCGAGGGTGGGGGACTCGGAGGCGGGGAAGGCGGGGGCGAGGGTGGGGGACTCGGAGGCGGGGAAGGCGGGGGCGAGGGTGGGGGACTCGGAGGTGAGGGTGGAGGCGAGGGTGGAGGTGAAGGAGCCAGGGTGTAAAAGCAACGGCCTGGCTTCGAGACGAGTGGACCAGCTACAGTTTTGAAGCACACACCGGTGGCATAGGCAAAAGGGGTGTAGGCGAACACAGCGGCGCCGTTCGTCACCATGAGTGAACTCACTAGTGACCAGATGGAATTACTTTCCTGCAGGGTACGGTAGTTTGATTGGCGACGTGGCAGTAGTTATTAGTTTAGTATATACGTGCATATATATACGTGTTCGCAAGTAGGCAACATGTAGCAACAATATAGTACCAGTCAATCAACAACACCCGAGCTCAGCCAGTAATAAGCAAGCACATCCATAAGCCCAGTAGTAATAGACACCAGCAGCAGGATACCTTTCAGCCACACACACAAACCGCGTGCCGAGCGCGCGCCATACTAGCCGCCTCCATCCCTACCCCACCCATACACAGACATACATACATAGATTGAACCAGGCTGATGCAGGCAACAGCCACCCCATTCATACATAAGCAAGGCCCGACCTATCTACCTTGTATAGCAAAGTAGTGTTTGCGACGCCGACGTCCACATTTGGGGTGGCTATATATCCCTCCACGCTGTGGCAGTCAGCTGCAAGTATGCACACCAGTAAGCAAACGTGCACTTGTATATATGTCATACATCATGTATGCCCACCCAGCAGGCTCATGCATCCACTTAAATACGTTTGCATCAATTAAACTCAAGCACCCCAATAAATAACACACCTTCTGTAATGTCGTTTGGCGTGTAGAAGCACTTTCCAGGTGCATCAACAAGGGGCGCTGTACCGCTCCTAAAGCAGGACTTAGAAAGTCCTGGATCGTGCGATACTGCATTACAATTATCGTATAGGTTCGCACAAGAAGTGAAAGCAGAATTGAATTTGTAGGACACGCAGGGATACGGCGGATCCGGGGTTGCCGTGTAGTCCTTGTCAGGTGTAACGGTATAGCCCTGTTTGGGTGTGCATGTAGCTAAAGGCGGCGGAGGGATGGAGGGATAGAGGGGATAGCAGGGGTAAGGTCACACAGAGGAGCGAGGGAGGGAGGGAGATAGCAGCAGCTAGTAGGTAGGTAGATAGCGGCGGATAATATTACAAGGATGGGAACGAACTAACTATACAACGAACATGCATCAAACATACATCATCCTCTCCGGGCGAGGAGCGGGTGGTTAGGGGGCAGACATGATGAGCACTCCTACCCTAACAAATGGTGCACCAGCCATTTGCCAGTTGACAGCACAGCACGCATGTACGTAGTTCATCACCAGCAGCCATCAAACTGGATGGCCGCAACGCCCGCCAGTTGCAACGTACTACTGTGATTGTTGGAAGTAAGATGAAGCCCAACATACAGAAACGCTGCAACGAATGAAGTATAGTCGGCAGCAGGTAGCTAGGTGTGTTCGAAACGCTCTGGGAGAACCCCCTCTTGTTTTCCGTATTTGAACTCGTATTTTCTCCCGCTTATGGCTGGAAATCTTCGTACGTCTTCGCGCATTTTGGCAACTTGGTGACCACCCTTGGCATCACGCCTGGCATCATCAGGATGGTCTCCCGGGGTGTGTTGTCGTACCGCAACACAGTACGGCATGGGTTTCGACATGCTCTCCCACCCCCCTCCATGCTCCCCACTCCCCTCACCACCCCCTCATCCCCCTCATCGCTCCAGCTCCTCTGACCACCCCTGCATCACCATGAGGTGTGTTGTCGTACGGCGACACAGTATGTACGACATGGGTTTCGACACGCTCTCCCACCCCCCTCCATGCTCTCCACTCCCCTCACCACCCCCTCATCCCCCACATCGCTCCAGCTCCTCTGACCACCCCTGCATCACCATGAGGTGTGTTGTCGTACGGCAACACAGTACGACATGGGTTTCGACACGCTCTCCCCCCCTATGCACCACGTGCACCACGGGCACCACGTGCCGCCAATCTCCTTGTTGCAATAACTTGCACTGTGATGTTGACGACTAAGCTATAACTGAGTTAATGAGCCATTCGCAGTTGGCTCATAATTGGCTCGAAATTAGTGTAAAACTGTTTGGTGACCGTGAGAACGGCGAGAACCAATCGGTTTCTTGTGGCAGACCGCTTACGACCATAGCCTACAAACATGAGTTGTGTGCGACGTCGAGTCCGTCCGTCTGCTAACAGAGGCCGCCACACGCCGACTTTAGGTCTGCTGACCGTGCTTGTCGGCGAGAGCTGGTCCATTTCTTGCGTCAAATGGCTTGCAACGATCATTTTTTGCGTCGAATGGCTTGCGACGATTACAATTACGCTGAGGAATGGTTTCTTACGTTGAACAGCTTACGGCCATAGCCTACGAACATGAGTTGCACGCGACGTCAGGTCCGTCCGTCGGCTAACAGAGGCCGGCTTCAGGTCTGCTGCTGACCGTGCTTGTCGGCGACAGCTTGTCAATTTCTTGTGTCGAATGGCTTGCGACGATCATTCCTTACGTCGTATGGCTTGCAACCGACCGTTGCTTACGAACATGACCTGCATGCGACGTCTCCCTTGGCTAACGGAGACCCGACCCCGTTGGCTAACGGAGACCCGTCCCCGTTGGCTAATGGACACCAGTGCCTTACGACATATGGCTTACAATCATTTCTTACGAGCATGGCTTGCGTGAGAGGCGACCGATTGCTTACAACAAATGTGCCTTACGACCATTGCTTGCGAACATGACCTGCATGCGACGTCAGGTCCGCCACTCTCTGTCTCTGTTGGTTGACGGCGACCAGTGCATCATGCGGAATTCAGCACACCGTTGGTCAGCACGCTCGTGCGGACTTCAGCACGCCGTTGGTCAGCACGCTCGTGCGGACTTCAGCACGCCGTTGGTCAGCACGCTCGTGCGGACTTCAGCACGCCGTTGGTCAGCACGCTCGTGCAGACTTCAGCACACCGTTGGTCAGCACGCCGTTGGTCAGCACGCTCGTGCGGACTTCAGCACGCCGTTGGTCAGCACGCCGTTGGTCAGCACGCTCGTGCAGACTTCAGCACGCTCGTGCAGACTTCAGCACGCCGTTGGTCAGCACGCTCGTGCGGACTTCAGGTCTACTTTGGATGCCTTACGACACATGGCTTACGACCAATGCTTACGAACATGACTGGCACGCCCACGTCAGGTCGGCCTGCGGTGTGCTCATAAGCAATCTCGCAACACTTGACATCTCGCTCACGTCAGGTCCGCAACACCGAAATCATGCCCACGCGCCGAGCTTGTTCGTGAATCTCCCCGCAGGATTCACAGTACCCCCGGCCGCGGCGACCACGATGCGGTGCTATTTCTGTTGGGCACAGCAGCTCCCTGCTGCTGACTTGTGCATGGCGGCCATCTATGCTCTGGGCGGGGGTTACATGCCTACTGTAGCAAGGCTACAATATAAGTCCTTAAGGGAATCCTCACGACATCTCGAGAGGCCTTTTAGGACCATTGTTACACGTACCTCGTTTTCCGAGGTTCGTCATACCCCTGTAACCCCCCTTGTGGAGACGGACCCTTGCTTGACGAGCTTTCTACGAAGGGGTAACGTTGGCAAGCCGGTTACCCCTACCTCGGTAGGTAGGAAGGTACGTAAGCGGCCAGAGTTATTAGTTGCTTGACTTTGTTCCAATAGTGAGTACCAAGGCTTTAAGTTACTTGGCCTAGTTTCTATGCTTTGCCGTAGCTCAAAACTCTGCGCCTTTTACCCTAATGGATACTCACACGCTTGCAATACGGTGATACGCTTGCTGCACGTGAATCCCTGCGGCTCTAGCCTTACTCCCTACGTATGGACCGAGCGCCGTACACTTCTCAGTGGATGTAATGTTCTGGTCCACCGTGGCCTACCCCTGACCCAGGTTGAAAGCGTTAGGTTACTTGACATCCACCTTCTCACGTGGCTGTGCGTGACAAACAACTAGCCAACATTGACCAAGCCAAGCAACAATTTTATTCCGTCCATCTATGGCGGCCTCGATGCCATGGACTGCACTCACCTGTTATCCTCACGTCCTAGCATGTGTTTGGTGAGCCAGGGTTTTCTGTCGTGCTTTGTTGCATCTTGACTCCTTTAAGCTACAGCCAACTCGCAGGAACTCAGCGACAGCTAGCTACACTGGTTGCAACCATCAACAGTCGAAATCAACGGAAAGAAGCTACTCTGTTGTGTAGGACTCGTCCCTAGATAGGG